AGAATGCGGAACTCTGCAAAGAAATAGAAAATGGCTTTGACTTAATGGGTCTGGAATAAAATGTAGAAAATTAAATCAAGAAATCGGTAGAAGCAAGTCGAGAAAATACGACACCATGATATCTAGGGAAGGAAAGATTTTGGGCCTATGATCAGTAAATGCCTCTAGTATAAATTACATTGGTGGATATATAAAGGGAAAGACATTCACCTCAAGCATGTCTTGTAAAAGGAATCTCAAAATGCGTGAATAAACACAAATTTTACAAAGCATCCTGATAAACAGGAAAGACATGCCCATAGGTTAGAGGAAATTCTCTGCTGATCTTTAAAATAGAAAAACAGTAAATCACAGTTAGGTTCGTCTAAACGACGAGGCTAAAGTTCCAATTGAGTATGTTCACTTTGAAGCAGAAAGTATTTTCTATAAACTTCTATCGCCCTGATGATTAGTATAATCAGCGATAGCAAGAGACAACATTGATTTGAAAAAGAGAAATTATGCATTTTACATCTTGCACAAAAATATTCACGATATCCGCATATTGAATGTGGTAAGGAATAAAAATATGAACGGGGAGTATCAAAAGAAGTCGAAAATTGCCATAATGACCAGTTTAATGTGCGCATCGTGCAGCCTGATTTTTGTTAAAAGGACTCATTGTCCAAATGAGTATACAAAAAAGAAAGCGAAGATAGATGATGTCATTGGATTGCAAGAATTTCTCAGATCAGCTCTAAAATACGATGAAGAAAAAAATTCGTATGGCGCCGAGATAAACTTACTCAAATACGCAAAGATAGCACAACAGAGGATGAAAGGGACGACGAAGAAAAATGTCACAGATTTAACCCGTTGAATAGGAGTCTGGTGCCAGGACCGGCGTATTCGGTGTCAGGCTGACCTTTAGAATTCGAAGTTGTGGCTTCTGATCCTGTCCAGCCGAGTTTGATGTCAAGGAAAGAAGGTGTCTTCACCTGGCCCGAGGATGCTGACGCAAGACCCGAACCTCGGGCGTCGGATGAGTTGTGAATGGGGTCAATCGCAAGAATGGCCCCATTAGGTATCAACGAAAACGAATCACGTATTCCCTCCTGGACCGGATTGGTATCCTCTTCTAGTCTTCTATCGAGTCTAGCCAACCCTCCGGATAAGGTCGCAGTATCGAAATCATCCTCAGTAAGCTCATCTCCAAGCAAGAGGGCCTTTGTACTACTTCCATCTGTTAAGTGTTTAGGCTTGTCATCGCCTCGAGCATTGGCAGCTCTACCCTCCGGTAAGCGTTCACGATCACGCATACGCCGAAGGCGCTCACGATAGTGCACTTTCACTGTGTCCATTGCGACGGCTCGAAACCCGCCTTCGCAACCATCTGTAGGGTTATCAAAGAAAGAAGTGCTTTCATCAGTCTGAAGTCGCTGCTTGAGATTTTGTTGCGTAGGCTTGCCTCCGAACAGCCTAAAACCGACCCCGGCGCCGGGCTCATTGAAAGTATTCATCGGAAGCCGATATTGCAGACGCCGATGGCCTCGTGTCACGATCAACCATACAAGACAAGAGGAGAGACCAAGGCCCAAGCCAAGAGAAAGAGTAGCAGTACGCCACTGCGCTTGTGTGCTGCGAAGCGCGGCCAGCTCATCTGATGGAGGAGATTCGGCTACTGAAGACAGGGAATTGGGGACCAGGTTTGGCGAGTTTAGGGCTGTGTGAAATCAGAGGTTTATAAAGGGTTACTCAAAGCGCCAATGCGTGAACGAATATTTTAGAAGTATAATTCTAAGAAATGGGTTATACAAAGCTTCAGATTGAAGACTTTCAGTCGATCTGGCTCAGTAATGCAACTTTATCTGAGTAAGGGTGTTCAGTTAGGTTAAAAAATGTTGCTACTCCGTAAGCTTGAAGCTCGAAACAATTAACTGAAACTTTGAATAAAGAGATACAAATATCAGAAAGTTTGTTTCGGATCGACTAAATAAACAATTACTATTATAATCGAAGGTATGAAGACCAAGAGTATGTGGCCTTTTGTGCGGTCGCAGTCTTCTTTCTTTGTATACAAGTTGTTTGACCTTATTTTCCCAACTTGGTCATGTTGGTAGGAAATCTTAGAGGAACGCACCTTGTCCGGAATCCATTGTATACATCATCATTTTAAGAGTAGGAGTGTGAACGTAATACATCGTCAGTAAGTCTTGCCAAATAGACAAGTGAAGCCGATCCCTTAACTAAATGTTGGCTAAACCCTCGTGGTATCTCTCCTTCTGTCATAGGCTATTTACCTTTACCATATCCTAGTATCACACCTTCGCTGTTACAATTTGTACCGTTCTTATTTCGATGTCGTGTGGTGTGCTCCTTCGAGCGGCATTCATGAAAACACTCCACACTGTCGTTATCACCCCCTTCACCCTTGTGCTGGGAATGTTGACCAGAGTCTGTCATATT